TCATACTTATTGTGTATAAAATGCATAGAATATTCTCTAATATATTTAACTATTATATATACTRTATATATATATAGCACTTAATACCAGACAAAACTTTTTTGACAAAAATTATTACACAGAATATTATCTGWATGTTAATAAAATATTGGTTGACATCACAAAAAAAATTATAGTATAGTCACAGATAAATAAAATTAATAATAATATTTTATTKACTAACAAATAAATTCAATTTCGATAAATGATATACATATATATATATATAATTTATATTCAATATTAGTTATATATATAATTTATATAAATGTCATTGACATTTAATATAATACAATGTGAAACCCCACAAAAAATCATATATTYAATAATATTAAATATATGTTTTCATATTTTTTTTGGTATTAATATAATAGATARCGAGAAAAAATATCATTTATATTAAAATTAAGAAAATATTATAAATTTATTTTAAACTACAAATAGAAAAATCATTATATTATTAATAATGATTGTGAATATTATTATTAATACTGTAAAAAAACTATTAGTATAAGTAATAKACAGTAATTAATTTCAATTACAATAACAAATTTAATTAAGATTGTTCATAATATATTATATTATAGTTTATTATATAACTTTTATCTACTGTATAGTTACGTATATATATATATATATATATAATTTACTGTACACTAAAATGACAATGACATTGATTTTTGTTTTTATTATTATGTAACCAGTAAACTATAATTTAAATATATTGCATAATACTGTATATTATTTTTGTATTTTTTATTATCTTATTTTATCTTATTATTTTTTTTTATATAAGATGAAAATACAAGTAATTTTTTTGTAATAAAATAAAGCATAGAAAAACATAAATATAAATTATTTATATATTAATATATCTATCATTTTATTGTAATAGATATGTTTAAACTAATGGTTTTTTTCAGACAACAAACATGAAAATAATTTTTTTTCTAGTTTTCTATTATATTAAATAATATTAATATCATTTATTATTGACTATTTTGTAAAAAWTAATTTTGTTTTTATTAWAAAAATATTTAGTAATATTTTACTTGAAATTTATTTATATTTTGTTATTATTTACAAATWAAAAATAATAAACATAAGCAGTAACAGCAAATGTTAATTTTTTTAYATAAAAAYAAAAAATATATTTATTGTATAAAAAGTTATATATTGTATTATTKTATAAATTATTTAATATTGTATTAAGTCTATTAAAATATATACTAATTTAAAYATTTTTGTTTTACTATTTTCATTGWCTATACTGTAGTAATAATCATTAAATTTAMAGTACTTATAGATATTGTTTGGTAATTATCATTAAAGTTATTAWTTRAAAAWATTTATGATATCAACTAATATACAGTATATTACAAATATATGATAATWAATTCAATAATAATTATATATCAATTTTATCAATATAATAGTAATAACAAAAAACATTAAATTTTTATTTAAAATCAATTATTTTAATTTGTTAAATAATGATATAAATTTATATAATATATAGTAATTATCTAATCAATTAAATTTTTTATTATAGAAACTAAGGTAATTATCAATGTAAAATTTATGATTTATAGTTAATATATAGGGATATTGGGGTATAAAAATAAGATTAATATTATTTATATTAATATAAATTAATAAAAAAAATATTTATAATAATAATATTTTATGAGTTTATCTGAGTTTATAATTAGTTTATATATGTATATATTTTTAAAAATATTTAGCATGTTTATAAAATGATTTATTTTTTAAAAATTAAGTTAGTATTTATTTATTTATTTTCATCTAGTTMAATTCATATAGTAAATAAAATAAATTAAATACATATTCATGATGTAATGATAAGCTAAATGATCAACAAATATAAAATTATATCATATATTGATTGAATTGTGCGAATGCGTTCATATATCTGTATACCCGACAACCGTCCGGTTATTGACCGGGATCTTWAAAAACCCGATAATATACTAATCAATAGCCWGCCAACCATTTTKGATAATAGATTTGTTAAACTATGCGAAACTTGGGTTTGGYTACCTATCACAATCGTTGGGGATCTCAAAACTAGGAAATGTATACAAACAAAAAAAAATATCTGCTACCAAACAAATATATGTCACCAGTAGTTATCGATTATATTAACTCGGATACTATAAAGTCGATTATAATATCAATTATCTAATAATATAATATTTATATAGTATTGGCATAATATTGATGGACTTGCTTGATATAACTGAGTATTTATATAATAATTTTTATTATTTTATTAATTTAATTTAAATTTTATTTTAATTAATATATAATGAATATCTACAATTATACCATGGTGGTATTAATTTTAAAACTAATATATGGATAATATTATTAAATTAGTAGCTGTCAATGCTACAACATGAGTATAGTGATAATTATCCACTAGGATAGTCCATATAAATATATTTTAAATTATTTGMTATTGATATAAATTATTTTTTAAAAATTYACCATCATCATCTATTATGGAAATATTTACTAATAMTAMTGATGATTATGTGTTTTTTAGTAATATTTTCAAAACAAAATTAAAGTAATTATTTTTATTTTATTTTTTTGTTAATTTATATATAAACTTTTTAATTATAAATTATTATTTTTTATTTTTTAATCAGATGCTCAATCAATAGCATGTTTATCAATGGTTGAAATATATTAGTAAATATATTTTTATATTGTTTAATAATGTTAATTTTYATTTTATTTTTTAAAAATAAATATTTAATGATTTCTTTTTTWTATACAAATAGTTTTATTAAGTTATTATTTAAATGAAAATCATAATATTTTATAATAGTATTTATTAAAACAATAGATTATTATTATTATTATTATTTATTTTTATAATTAAAAGTWTTTKATTATAAATTTTTTTTTATTTTTTAGAATTTCGTATACAGTGTTCCCGTAAACTATGATATGCTTTTTCTAAGCCAATAATTTCCTAGAAAACAATAAAACAAAAATATTCAATAAAAATAAATTAAATATTTTTGAAAAACATTTTATTTGTATTGTTTGATATCAAATTTTTTAAAATTATTAATACAATAAAACTTTTTTTCATATGTGTTTATTTATATATTTAATTATTATATAATACTAGGGGACAGTTAGTTACTTAATACCAAACAAACATATATCATAAAAATCATACCTGTGTTTGATTGGACAATGCAATCATCAGTTTATTGATAATCAAGTTTTTCTCTTTCAATAGATATGATATCTTTTCAATTTCTTTCTGATATTTTCCGATCTCATCGCTGATCAACATATTGTTGTCAGCAGTGGTGGCTACCGGTGCTGTGTTATCATTGTTATCCACATCGATATTATCGACAATATCATCATCAGGCATATGATGTGGATCCTGTGCAAAATCTACATGTGCTGCCCGCGACCCATCACTATCAATGGCGTCATAGCTAACTGATCCCTCATTATTATTATTGTCAACATTATTATCATTATTATTATTATTATCATTGTCTTCATTGACGACGAACAACAACAACACCGTTATCGTTGTCGACATCAAACATGTCATCATTACTTGTCTGTGACATAATTAGTGATGTAATTATAATTAATTAGTTAATTATTATTATTATAAAACAAAATAATATCAAAACAAATAATTATTTAATTATTAAATACTGTATATATATATAAAACAGTTTTCAGTAATCAAAACTTTAGTAATAATTTTAACTATAATCTGATAAGTTTTATTTGTAAGCAATTAAATGGATTTTTATTATTTATTTTAATATTAAGTGAAATATATTTATTATTTTATAATAATAAATAATAATTTTTTATTATTATTATGTGATTATATATTTGTTGTTGCAAATATTAAATGTATAAAATTAAAAAAAAATCACAAATAATAGTATTTATTTAAACAAATTTAAAACAATTATATCTAAAAATTATTTTAAAAATCAAATTTTGATGTCTTTTAATAACAATGTTTGTTTTAATTATAATATTTTTTTGTAAAACTAATATTTAGTTAATATGTTATTTTTCTCTTAATTTAATGTAATTATAAATGTCTACTTGTTTTACTTATTATCTAATCAGTAAAATTACTGTTAATATTTGTACTTTAAGTATTTGATTAAAATGTAATAATAAAATAAAAATTATTGATAATAATAATAAAATTTTTATCGCTTTATATTAGTAACTATCTCTTATAACTATCTTATTTTTATACATCATATTTATGTATATATATATTTTTTTAATTTAATAAAATTTATTGATTAAAATAATTTTTAACAATTAAATAATTTTTTTCTAAATAAAATAATTTAGTATAATAGTAAAAAAAACTAAAAAATGTACATTGCAATAAATATTAATTTATTATATACTAAAAATACAATTACATTTTTTAATTTAAATTAAATTATATATATATATATATATATATACTGTTATAATTATTTAACATTGTATTATTGATTAATTTAATTATTACTCAAAAAATTATATCAAAATTTATTGTGCATATTAACAACAAAAATATAATTTACTATAATAATTGAAATTAAAAAAGCACTATAAAAAATTTTTGATTGATAACATTTATTTAATAAAGGTAAAAAWATTAATAAAATAAAATAAAATAATTTTAGCAACTTAAGCATTATTTTATTTTTTAAAAAAAACTTGAAATACATTTATGACAATACTTAATAATAATTATCTTATATTTTATGGTCTAATTGAAATAATTATTTTTATTAAATAATTATTTAAAAAAAATAAAATTTTATTAATAATGCAATACTATTTATTCTAGCTATTTCATATTAATTATATAAAAAAAATTATATATTAATAATAGTATAATAATAATATTGTAATAATTATACAACAAAAAAATGTTACACAATTTTCAATCATTCAATAATATACCGCATCCTATAAAAAGTGAAATCAAATTATTTCATTGCAATCCTAATAATGTTTGGTTTGTAACAAACGATGATTGTGTCTATTGTTTTGGTAGCAATAGTTACGGTATACTGGGTTTGGGTCATCAAAACAAGATAACCGAACCGCAACTGATCCGTGAATTATGCGATCGTAATGTTTGGAAATTTTTTATCGGCGCCGACTTTGCACTGTGTCTGACACGTGACCAACAAATATATAGCTGGGGTTGCAATCAGTACAGACAACTGGGTCGTCGTCGTCGACTACCTACCGGTGCTGCCGCTAATGTTAATACTACTACTACTAATATTTACTGTAGACCAGCGCTCATACCGTTTCTGGCCGATAAACATATTACTGATATCGGGTGCGGTTCKCATCATTCGCTGGCACTGACCAGTCAGGGCCAGGTATATGGTTGGGGCGATAACCGATTTGGACAGTGCGGTTGCGGACAACAACAACAACAACGACAAACCGATTATATAGAGTATCCAACTCTAGTTATAGTAATTGGTTTATCACTAGACACTRCTATTCAATCTATTTATACWATATCATCATGCTCGTTTGCTATAACCAGTGCTAATGGACAGGTATATAGTTGGGGTGACAATAGTAACTCACTACTGGGACATAATAGTAATAATAATAATAATAATAATAATTACTACTACTATATACCAAAATTGATTGCTATAATTAAAAATATCAAATTAGTTACCTGTAATATTGATGGTAATATTTTGCAAACATATTTTTTGACACATCAAGGTACAATATACAGGTGCGGCAAAGTTACCAATATTATTYTAAACAGTAATAGTTRTAGTARTAGTAGTAGTAGTAGTAGTTGTTGTAATAGTAGTCCAACATTGTTAGTAAATATTGATAATGTTAGCGATATGTATGGCAGATATGTTAGCATTGATACTAATAATAGATGTTATAAATTAATGTATTTTACCGAAACTGTTGTCAAACTAATCAATGTTTACTATACAAGTTTGCCKATACTATACGCCCGTAAATTTCAATATACTATCAGTACTGTTGAAGTAAAACCATATGGTTGTGATATGTCAGGTGTGTGATAGAAATATATATACAGTATATACTATATATATATATATATATATATACTGTATTATTATTATTATTTATAATTGACTTTTTTTATTTAAAATTAAAATATATAGAGACTAGTATTGATGATCTATTGGATAAGTTTCCATTGATAACAACTATTCATGACCAGGAAATCAAACAAACTATACAATTAGTTCACTATGAATACGATAATCTATGGTATGTGACAACCACTGGTCAAGTGTATGGTTTGGGCGAAAATTTTTACGGTTTACTTGGTTTGGGTCACTCKMGAAAAGTTGATGAAAACATACCGCAAATGATACYKGAATTGTSCGGCAAATCAATCAAAAAGTTTGTYATCGGAAACGATTTTGCTGTTTGTCTAACGTTTGACCATCGAGTTTATAGCTGGGGTTCAAACGATTGCTATCAATTGGGTAGACCTGCAGGTGCTGACAATACTGATTACAGYAAACCAGCAATCATACCGTTTTTYGATGATAAATGTGTTACSGATRTMGTGTGCGGTTGGAGTCACGCACTGGCCATTACCAGTTGCGGTACTGTCTATGCGTGGGGTAACAACACMTACGGACAGGTAGGCTGTTGTTCATATRCMGCKAGCATTAGTTATCCGCCAATCAAACYGCCAATARTACCAATCRATACAGAATTTAAATATATCTACGCCTATAACAATCTATCGTTCGGTATTACCCGACATWKGGGTCGGGTATACAGTTGGGGCGATAATAGTACCCGACTATTGGGACACSAACCTAACATTGATTGTCGTATACCCRMAATGATAAAYSRYCTAGATCATATAATATCCATAAGYAATTGGCAATGTCATAAAATGGGCAATAGTCAGCATACATATTTTTTATCAAGCAAAAATCAATTGTACATTTGTGGACGTATGTTTAATCGWTGTTTATCARGGCCAATTTATCTAMTAGATAACGTTGGCAGTATTATTGGWAATTTTATTAAACAACAACAATTATMAAARTAGTTCAATTAATCATCAATTTAAAATAATTAAATGGCAACGTAATTGTACTGGWCAAATTATCAATTTAGACAATCAATACSMAAATTTTATCGATTTATTTGCCAATGAGTGCCAGSKRACAGTTAAAACTGTTAATATAGCTCTGTAYAAATTGACCCGGAACATTATGTGYCATAATAAATTTAGYAAAACATGGACGACACCCGGCGGCCAACTATTGGGCTCCGGTACCTATGGACAAGTATATCGATCTACTCATAAGTCYAGTGGCTTAGATTATGCCATCAAAATTATCGATAATTTTGGTAACTATAAAAAAATGCAATAAAAATGATGATTTTGTTTTAGTTTTAAAAAATTTTTACTTTTTTAGATATTACTAATCAAGAATCGCTGAGAGAAGTTAAACAATTAATTAAATTGAATTCACAATTTGTGGTCAACTGTTATGACGCCTGGTTTGAGTCCAATAATAATAAWAATACTAACAGTCTATACATACAAATGGAGTTATGTTCGCAAAGTCTTAAGCATTTAATCGATTTAAAAGGACAGACATTTCATAGACAACAACAGCCTAACAAACCAATGGATCCGTTGGACTATTTTATCTCAAGTCATCTGATGCTTGAATTGTGCGAATGTGTTGAATATTTGCATACAAGACATCCGCCAGTTATACACAGGGATATCAAACCGGATAATATACTGATTAATACTAGACCTGTAAACAATCGTTTTGTCAAACTGGCGAYTTCGGACTGGCCGTACATCATATCAGATACGGTTCCCGATCGGGATTGCATACAAACAATATGGGTACCCAACGATATAGGGCACCGGAAGTCTCTGATATGACTAGTACTGGTACAACAACAACAGGTAGTATTGGGAAAGGGTCTTATATAGCGTATAATGAAAAATGCGATGTCTATAGTCTGGCCATTGTTTGCTATGAGATTTTTTCTACAGACATATTAAAGTAATTAAATTTTGTTATTTATTTTTGTTTTTTATAAAAAAAATTTAACCTAGTACATATATTATTTTTTTGTTTTTAAAATTATTGTTTTAGCTATCACATTGATAATACATTGTATGGTTATATAAGAAATTTGGATCAACTTTTCCATAATATGCGCCGATATTTTATAGACAGACCTACCTGTGCTGAGATTATTGCYGATCGACATAATTGGATGTTTGATCAAAATATTTTAGAAAACTATAGACCAGATTATCAAAAAATTGTCGATAATTTTGATAATGAATTTTTCAAAATATTTTGTTTGTCGAAAAATTTATAAATAATTTATTTACTWAAAAACAAAAATTAATTTATAATATATAACTTTTTTTTTAATTATTATTTTATAGTATTTAATCCTAGTCATTTAATCAAAGTTAATAATTTATTTAACTTATTAATATATTAGAARAATTTAAGATATTCAAAAAATTACAATAATTATAAGTTTTTTTTTTGATTATCATTTTATTCAAGTATACACTTTTATCTTAAATTAAATATTAAATGTATATTAACTATTAATTTATCATATTTTACATTATTATTTTTTTGTAAATATTTATTACTAATTTTTTTCCATAGAATTTCTAGAATTTTCTATATAAATGTATTTTTTTTTAATATAAAAGTATTAATTTTTTTTATAGATATAAAAACAATATTTAGTATTATTATTGTAATACWGTATTATTTACACATAGAGTAATTCATCAAAAAAAAATAAATAAAAAATTACTATTAAAACGATGAAATAATGAAATAATTATTTAGAAATAATAAAATAATGTAAATATTATGTTAGTCAGTAAATGATGAAATCACAAAAAAAAATTTTTTAACCAATAAATATTTTATTGACTTTAATGATTAGGCAAATATTTTTCTAATTAATAAAAATATTCATTATTTTATTAATCAATAAKATTTTTTTGTTATTGAAWTTTTTATTTTTTAGTTTTTTAATAATTAATTATTTTAGATATATTAATCTTATTTATTATTAAATTTTGTTATTTAWTTATTTTTTAATTATTTGTATTATTTATTRKTTATTATTATAATTATTAACAATATGTTATATTTGGGGGGGGGGGAAACAATAAAAACAATTTTATCGTAACTTTTTATAATACATTAAAAAAAATTATTTATTTTTGCTTTGAAAGAGAGACAACAAGTATTTATTCAAACAAATTATTTTTTTATATATAAAAACTAATACTTGTATAACTTTATGTAATTATTAATTATAAAAAATTATCATATGTATTGTATTTATATAATAATAGCAATTTTTACACACAAAACAAAACAAAAATAACTATAAATTATTAATTAATTAATTAATTACCGGTAATTATATATAGTTTTCAACAAMAAAAAATAATAAATGACCAGCAGAGTATTATTATTATTATTATTATTAGCAATTAATTTAAAGATATTATTACTATTATTATTATAATTACAAAAAAAAATTTAATTTTAAAAAAATAGATCTTCAGTTCCTGTTTTATTATTAATTTTTTTTTTATAGAGACAACTGTTTTTTTAAAAAAAAAGACATCCATTTCCTCTAAATAATACCATCAAACAAACCCAACCATCACTTCTAAAATGTCTCTTAAGTTAATTATTATTATTATTATTATTATTATAGCTTTATCTAAATTGGACTTTAAATAGGATTGCCATCCCTGTCCCTCATCCAGACCTGTGCGTCAATCTGTTTGTTTGCCGGTAAATGTTTGAACAGACACTTGTCGGCCATCAGACACGAAGTTGTCCGCCAGTAATAGCACTCTCCGCAGTCGTTTTGCGGCTGTTTTGGTCGTGAAAAACGCAACTCTTTTTGGTCGTCGGTCGGCGCAAAAAACAACCTCAACGGCATCGGTCGGGCTTTTTGTCTGTAACTCAGATCCCGATGAACAGTGCCCTGCAGTTTGGCAATGGCCTGGACCGGTGCTACTGGATTATCAAAGTAGATCCATACGCTTGACTTGGATTTGGCTACCGGTTCGCAGTGTTTGACTTTACCGAAAACCGAAAATCGTTTGTCGATAGTCTTGAGGGCAGTGGCGTCGATATTTTGTACACGCAGTCCATTATAGCCCCACAGGTTTGTCGGACAATCCGGTCCCGATAGTGGCGGCTTTTTTGTAGACAACTTTTTGGTCGCCGCCGACGACGACGATGACGACAACACACCGCCGTTTACGGCCAACAACTTGTTTGTGAATTTATTGGCGGTCCCGATATCGATGGCGGCGCCAGTTTTGGCCCAATTGCGTGCTTTATCGGCATAGTTAAGACCAGTTGTTTTAAAGTTATTATTATTATTATTAGTAGTAGTAGTAGTAGTAATAGTCTTATTATTATTATTCATGTAATTATTATTATTATCACCAATTGTCATGTCATTAGAGTTTATGTCGTTATTATTCCTAATAATTATTATATCCTTATTATTATTATTAATAATATTATTGTTATTAGTATTAATTGTTGACTGATTTGTTGTCGTAAACTTAAATAAACTATTGATACTTAAATTATTATTTTTATTATTATTAACTTTATTATTAAGACATTTATCACTAGTATTGTAATCCATGTCCTCCTCGACTCCGTCCTCCTCCTCGTCCTCCTCTTCATCGTCATACTCATCATCACTACTATAAGCACCGGAGCTTAGATTCAGACGACACGACAGCGACGACGAAGATCTTCGTTTGTTGTTAAACACCTGTTGAGCTAATAGGCTGTCCACTGCTTCGCGTATAGAATCGTATACCTGTGCCGCTTCGGTAGCCGTTTGCTTATCGAAACCCATTTCCACCAATGATCGACATCGTAGGTCGTATAGCTCGCGCTGGTTGTCCTCGCGATTATTATTATTATTATTACAATCATCCATATCGTCATCCGTCAACTGGATAACCTGTTTGTAGACTTGTTCGGCTCGGGTATATTCGCGCATACCGGCCAACGCACGGGCCATACATAACTGGCCGGCCATCGTACTGTTKGTATCCATTTCCAGCARACGACTGGCCTCTTCGCCATCCGTCAGCGCCAAATGATATAACTCGGATTTCTGGTAACAGTCGGCTCGGCTTAGGTATAGTTTGTGGTCAATCGGATACATTGCKATCGCCTTCGAGTAGATCTCAATAGCCGTATAGTGTTCACCAGATTTGGCCCTACGGTCGGCCTCCGAGGCCAGTGTCGATGCCATACTTTTCAGCATTAGTTTGTGTGTCGATGGGTGGGGGRGGGGTTGACTAATATCCACACAAATCCAAGTKTTATWTTATTTTTWAAAATAAATAAATAAATTTCAAACTAAACTTCAATTCAATCRATTGAATGAATGAATATTTTATTTTTAAGGCAAATATTAGTTTTTATAAAAAAATTAATATATATTTRAAAAACACAATTATTATTATTATCGCACGTGTAGTTACTTGAAAGTGATTTTTAAGTCCACATTAAAACAATTTTTTTATTAATGTTGAAAACTTTACTGGCTTATTATTCATAAATTATTACAGTATTATAATAATAATAATAAATAATAATTAATGATAATTATTGATGAGTCAATGAACTTTTATTATTATTATTATACTTAAATGTAAAATACACTCATGCAAATTATATATTAATTAATAATAATAAAATACTTATATATTTATTAGTATTATTATTTAAAAATGTTTACTAATTGCTTGATAAACATATAYATACACACATAGTATTTGAAAATTGTTGATTTAGTTAGGAAATTACAATACATAACATTATATATATACACACACACACTAAATATTATATGATATAATGTATAWATATATATATATATATAAAAATATTTTACAGTCGACTGGATATTATATTGTATTATTTGTATAATTATTATTATTACAGTATTATATTGTATGTAATAAAATATTTTATATTATTATTAATATTAAAAGTATTTTATTTAATACTAGTATACATTACATATACAGTATATATTGATGGAAATTATTTTTGCTATAATAATATAAATAAATATAAATAATATATTGTAGATTATTTTGAAATATGTACAGTAAATTACAAGTAATGGTAATTTTATGCCAGCTAATCATAACAACCACTACTACTACTACTATTACAATATTATATTATTATTATTATTTAGTTTATATATATATATTAAATATCAATGTTTAAAATTACTACCAGTGTGTGTGTGTSTGTGTCATGAGGTTTAAAATACAGTAAATAGTAGTTTAAATCACATAAAACATACAAATAATTAATAATTTTTATCTGAATTTTCACTGTACTTATAAACATATATATATATGATATATAATATTACTGTAGGATTTATTTTTCACAAAATTGAAAAATCATTTACAATTAGACGATAATATACTGTATATACAGTGTATGTACTGTACGTATATATATMTATATCWTCAAAAAAAAAATAAGTTAATGTTAGTTTCAAAATAGTTTAATAGTTTTTTTTTAATTTTCACATTTAAATCACTACTATAACATTACATATATACACACACAMTCACATTGATATCTAAAAATTTATTTTATTTTATAAACTGATAATTTAGTTAAAAGTTTATTAATTTTTTTGTGTTTACKTTTAATATTAATAGTAATATTTAGTTGTTTGTCGAAAATGTTAATTAGTTTTATTAATAATAAATTATTTAATAATTTTATTTTTAAAAAAAATTTATTGAGATTTATTTTTGCTGATAGTATTTGTAATAATATTATTTTATTTAAAAAAATAAATAAATGATAT